GGATGGCCTAACTAGATGGCCTACCCACAAACTGTCATTGCCATGACTACGGGACCCTGGGAGGTCAGAATGTGGGCGGGGCTAGCCTCTAGAAACTGTATATAAGGGGGACCCTCAGATGCTGTAAACCAGAGGTTGCTCAGCTTCTCTCCACAGTCTGTAGTGCCTAGTGCCCATGGGGAGAAGCTCCTGGTCTGTAGTGCCTAGTGCCCACAGCAGTAGGCTTGAGCGATCTTTCCTCCTAGTCACTTAGAGTATCAATAAAGTGTGTTTAGCTTGACCTTCCTCAGTCTCCTCGACTCTTCCTTTGCGGTAACCCAGCCAGTTCCTGAAGGGGGAGATCCTGACAGCTGGTACCAGAACAGGGACCTGAAGTCAGACTGTGAGGAGAAGAGCCCTTGAGGAATTGTTGAAAGGGTGAGTAGCAGTGGTTGAAAGAGACCACGATGGGTGGGATGTCCCAGTCAAAAGAATATAGGCAGGCACTAGTGAGTATAGAGAAGGTGAAGGTCCTTCCAGGCCAGGCACCAAGAGGCAAGAAAGTGAAGTGCTACTCACCAGGAAATGTAACATGGGCTTGTAAACTGGTAGCAGCTTGTACAGGATGGGACCTCCAAGATCTGTGGACCTTGGAAGAGGTAGAAAACCTCCTGGAGGAATTCCTACAAGTAGGAGAAGGCACCACAACAGGGAAAGACTATAAATGTGCAGTAGACTCCCTTAAGGTGTTAATTTGTTGTGGCAAGGGATTAAATCCAAAAAATACATGAGATGCCTGTAAGCTCTATGACGCTATAGCAGAATGTAGGCAAAACTTCAGGTTGTTCCCAGAGAGTTAAGTAAGGAAGAAAAAGCAAAAGAACAGTCAGCGTATCCGATAAGGTTAAGAGGTGGTAGACAAGAATATGAGCCTGTGGGACCTGTACTAATAGCCGCTTGGCTTAAACAAGTTTAGGAACATGGTCTTATGCACCCAGCTACCATCACTTATTTTGCAGTAATTTCAGTAAACTTTACATCGGTAGACATCAATATGCTACTGAATGTAACTCCTGGCTTTGCAGCAGAGAAACAGCTAGTCATAGATAAGATAAAAGAGAAGGCAATAGCATGGGATGAGATGCATCCCCCTCCCCCAGCCAACATGGCTGGACCAGTGCCATTAACATCAGATCAGATTAGGGGAATTGGATTATCACCAGAAGAAATAAAGGACACCCAGAGCATTCAAAATGCTAATGAAGAATGTAAAAAGTTGCTTAGAAATTTAAGACCAGGAGATTCATTAGATGAAAAAATGTATGCCTGCGGAGAATTTGGATCCACCTCCTATAAGATGGCCATGCTGGCAGAGGCCTTAAAGGCTGGAGATAGACATCAAGGGTCAAGAAGTTATCAGGGAAATTGTTACAGGTGAGGAAAAAAGGGGCATATGGCAAGAAATTGTAGGAGTGGAGAAAAAACTCCGCTAAAATGCTGTAATTGTGGGAGAACCAGACATATGGCAAAAGTATGTAGACAGCCGAAAAATGGGAAAGCGGGGGGCAATGCCCCCCAGACCATGATGGTGTCTGCCCAGAATATCCAGTCATCTGGGCCGGCGCCGCGGTTCACTAGGCTAATCCTCCACCTTGTGGCGCCGGCACACCGGGTTCTAGTCCCGGTTGGGGCGCCGGATTCTGTCCCGGTTGCCCCTCTTCCAGGCCAGCTCTCTGCTGTGGCCAGGGAGTGCAGTGGAGGATGGCCCAGGTCAGGAAAAGCACCTGGCTCCTGGCTCCTGCCATCGGATCAGCGCGGTGCGCCGGCCGCAGCACGCCAGCCATGGCGGCCATTGGAGGGTGAACCAATGGCAAAGGAAGACCTTTCTCTCTCTCTCTCTCTCTCACTGTCCACTCTGCCTGTCAAAAAATAAAAATAAATAAATAAATAAAAATAAATACATAAATAAATAAAAAGAATATCCAGTCATCTATCCCGCCATCTGCCCCATCCCTGGGGGAAACAGAGACGGAAGCCCCTGTGACTGGGATCTACCCGAAACTACCAAAATAAAATTAGAACAAAGACCTACCTTAAAGTTAAACCTAGGGGGGAAAGATATAGTAGGGCTGTTATACACAGGGGCTGATTTAACTATAAATAAGGGAACAAGAGGTTAAAGGAATAAAAGAAGGGATAACAGAAGGATGGCAAAATATAGAGAGGGTAGGAGGGTGCTCTCAATTACAAAAAATATCATAGGTTATGCTGAAAGACAAAAAAGGAAGGAAGACAAAGACATCCATTCTAATATCTCCAGATATTCCCATCAATATATTCGGAAGGGATATCTTAACAAAGTTAGGGGTAGCCCTAATTATGGCACAACTCTCTACCCAAATTACCCCAATAAAGATAAAAATGAAAGATCCTAATAAAGGTTCCTTGATTACCCAATGGCCTTAACAAAAAGACTACTAGAGGAAGGGAAGATGTCTCCAGCAGACCCAGATAATCCCTGGAACACCCCAATATTTGTGATAAGGAAAACATCAGGTAAATTGCGAATGTTAATAGACTTTAGAGATCTTAATAAATTAGTAGATAAGGGAAGAGAAGTTCAATTAGGTATTCCACACCCTGGAGGATTACAAAGAAGAAACCAGGTTACTGTTTTGGATATGAGGGATGCTTATTTTACCATCCCTCTGGATAAGGACTTCAGGCAGTACACTGCCTTTACCATCCCAGAGGTTAATAATCAAGGTCCAGGCCATAGGTATGTGTGGAATTGTCTCCCACAAGTTTTGTATTAAGTCCCTTGATTTACCAAAGTACACTAAGGGACATACTAGAGCCCTGGAGACAACAACACCCAGAAGTAGATCTTTATCAATATATGATGATATATATATTGGGTCCAATCATTCTCCAAAACACCACAAACTGATCGTAGAAAAACTCAGAAAAATGCTTTTAGAAAAGGGATTTGAGACACCAAATGAGAAATTACAAGAACAATATCCTTATTCATGGATGGGATACTCGTTACACCCGAATAAATGGACATTGCAAAAGCTAGAGTTGCCAGAACTTCCAGAGAAGCCCAACCTAAACAAACTACAAAAGTTAGTAGTACTCCTTAATTGGATGACCCAAGCTGTTCCCGGAAATAAGACAGAACTTTTACTCTTATGATGAAGGGAAACCAAAAGTTAAATAGTATCAGGGAATGGACCCCCAAAGCAAGACAGGAGTTATGGACTATAAGGAGGCTATTACAAGAACACAAACCTTTAAGCTACTGGGACCCCAGCAAGGAAGTTTACTATACCGTTATCATGGGAGGTAATACCATAAATTATAAAGTGCAACAAGGATCTGATATCCTTTGGGTAGGTAGACAGGAATTTCCAAAAGTATTACCAGCATCTCCTCTAAATAGAGCCCTAAAATGCCTACATAAAATCAGACAAGAATGCATTATACGAATAGGGCAAGAACCTATATATAGGTTACCTATCAAAAAAGAGGATTTAGATGTTATGATTCAGGAAGACCCCTACTTGCATTGGGTAGTGCAGATTGAATGTATCCATGTGCCTTTAATGTTTAGAAGGGCGCTAAGCAGTCTTCAAGGTCATCTTGTGCCAGGACCTACTTACTATGTTCATGGAGGAAGCAAACAGGGGCAAGGAAAATATGGCTTTTGGAGATCAGATGGAGTTAAACTAGTTAAGGAGAATGAGGGAAGTAATCAAGAATAAAAAAAAGAGCCATGCTACTAGCCCTTCAAGAAGCACCCCCGATAATGAATATAGTTATGGATTCTCAATATGTATATACATTAATTGAGGCCAGACCCCTACCTGTAAATATTGAAGAACCCTTGTTTAGAACCATATTAGAAGCTATAGAAAGTAAAGAAGAAATTTACATCCAATGGGTGCCTGGACATAAAGGAATCCAAGGCAATGAAAATATTGAGAAATTAGTTTACTAATAGCTCAGTTAATTTTAAAGCCTGTCCTCCATGACATAAGTAAGGCACCAAACATCTTTTTCTAGAACATATTGAGATAGCCATGGATGATCATGCTAAATGGCATAGTGATGTGTCATACTTGAGACAAAAATTCAGCTTACCAAAAATTGTAGCAGAACAAATAATAAAGAACTGCCCCAAATGTGTGCATAAAGGAGGAACTACTCCTCATATTAGATCAGGGCCAGGACTGTGGCAAATGGTTGTGACCCACTATGAGTCCTGGCTAATTCTGGTAGCCATTGTGACATCTACTGGCCTTCTATGGGCTAAGCTAATTCCTAAGGAAACTGCTCAGGAAACAGTATGGGGAATATTAGAACTACAGAACCTATTTCATATCCAAGCACTCCATACAGATAATGGCCCTAACTTCACAACTGAAAAGGTCTCAGGATTGTGCCGATATTTAAATATTGATCATACCACAGGCACACCCTATAATCCACAGTCGCAAGGAATGGTTGAGAGAGCTAATCAATCCTTAAAACAAGAAATGGATAAGTTTGCTGATGTAGTTCAAACCATTGAAGTATTGCTACAATTGGCTCTTTTTGCCCTTAATCAAAAGAAAAGGGGAGGAATAGGGGGCTATACTCCTACTGAAAGATATATCCATTCAGAGATGGCAAGAACTAGAGCAAACGCTCCAACTCCAGAAATTTAAAGATAAAAACTCTTTTGCTTTTATAGATTACCAAACAGTAAAGACTGGAAAGGGCTCACTACCATCCTTTGGAAAGGAGAAGGAGCAGCAGTGATCAACACACCTGAAAAGGGGATTATTAGCTTGCCCCAAAGACATGTTAGGATGGTTCCAGCCCCAGGACCTCAAGACTTGGGAATTTCCAATTAGGCACTAATGGAATATCAATTGCAATTATCCTGTCAAAAGAACTCATATGTTTGTAAGGTGCATTTTATAGAAAGAATTAGGGATTTCATATTCCAGAGCTAGGACTAAAGAACTCCAGAAATGGCAACAGCAGCAGCAAATGGAAATGGGACCCAGATAAAGGTAAGTTAATTGAAGGTAAGCAAACACTTAAATGATTTAAAGTATTAGGTAGCTTAAGGAGATTGTGGGAAAGATTTGAACTACCTATGCTCAGAGCTTATGGATTGATAATGACAATTATCATCTTAATTCTGTCTCTCTTATTTGAAAAAGTGGCTCAGAGCATAGATATATTAGATGCAGACCTCCAAGTAACAGTCAGTCAACACATTGTTTTTGGCAGGCAGGATATGAAATGTTTCACAAACATTTTGTAAAAATTCCAGTAATGGAAGACCCAGGAAATTGGACGTGTAGAACAGAAGGGGAGGTATTGTATGCTAGATGCACACACCCATTAGATTCTAAAAAGGAGATCAGTTGCTATATAAGGGAACTGGAATGGGAAGAGAGAATGATAACATTCTTGGCTCCATATATGGTGGTAAAGGCAACTCCTTTCACATATGTACCAGAAAATATGTCTGATTTGACTATACCAATAAAACCAATGCACAAAAAAAGAGACTTTGGAGTAACAGCAGCTATTGATGCTATAGCAGTGTCAGCAGCCATGGTAGCTGGTGCTGTGACTGGAGCACTGGCTCTAAGCACTACCCAACTACAGGGAGATGCTTTGGAGTCCCTCCTGAAGATAATTCAGGAGCAGTGGGCTCAGCTAGGTGACCAGTCAGCACTGCTTAAGACACATGCTATGGGGCTCCAGATGCTCGAAGCACACACAGTACAATAGAACAGATAATTACTATACTAGCTTTGGAAAGAGAACTCAAGAGTGAAGTGATTGGAAGAGTTTGCATTACCACCATTCTGTGGAACAATCTATCCATTCCTAATGCAACACAACTAGCTGATATGTTCAAACACAACCATTCTACCTGGCTAGAGTGGGTAAATGCAACCACTCATCTTGAGGCTAACATTACTAAGAGAGCTCTACAGACAATACAGCTTCAAAATATAGCGACATTTAAGGTAGGTCAAGTCAAAACAGTGGAACAGACAATAAATACTCTGACACAGTTTCCTCTTGGCTCCCATCCTGGAAATGGTTTAAAATAGGAGCATATTTTGTATAGTTCTTGTATGCTTGCCTATCTTACCGCACCTCTTCTCAATTGGATGGAATTTCATGAAGGGATACCTAGCCCTCTGCAAGGAACACAGCTGACCAGAAATAGAAGAAGAAGAAGAGGAAGAAGAGGAAGAAGGAAGAAGAGGAAGAAGAAGAAGAAGAAGAAGAAGAAGAAGAAGAAGAAGAAGGAGGAGAGGAGGAGGAGGAGGAGGAGGAGGAGGAGGAGGAGGGGAGGGGGAGGGGGAGGGGGGGGAGGGGGAGGGGGAGGGGGAGGAGAAGGAGATCTCAAATCTGGAAATCAAATCCAGGATATGCTCAAGAATATTCATCCCCTTGGCCCAGCTGCTCAACCGGCTTTGCAGGGCTATGAGTGCATTTAAAGAAAAGAAAAGGGAGGACTGTTAGGGAACCATTCATGGAGAAAGTAATTGTAGCACCGTTTGAAACAAAGTAATTGTAGCACCCTTTGAAAGAAAGTAACTGTGCAGTAGCACAGCTTGAAATAAAAGTAGAAAGGTAACCACCTTAGCTGGTAAGATTTGAAAACGGATGGCCTAACTAGATGGCCTACCCACAAACTGTCATTGCCATGACTATGGGACCCTGGGAGGTCAGAATGTGGGCGGGGCTAGCCTCTAGAAACTGTATATAAGGGGGACCCTCAGATGCTATAAACCAGAGGTTGCTCAGCCTCTCTCCCTGGTCCGTAGTGCCTAGTGGCCGTGGGGAGAAGCTCCTGGTCTGTAGTGCCTAGTGCCCACAGCAGTAGGCTTGAGCGATCTTTCCTCCTAGTCACCTAGAGTATCAATAAAGTGTGTTTAGCTTAACCTTCCTCAGTCTCCTCGACTCTTCCTTCATGGTAACCCAGCCAGTTCTCAAAATGGGAGATCCTGACACTATGGATTTCTTTTGCACTTCTTCTGGGGGATTTTCTGCCTTCTCTTTATTTTATAATGATGGCTGTCTTTCTGTGTTTTTGTGTGTAGTGTATCCTTAAGCATCTTTTGTGAGGCTGGATGAGTGGCAACAAATTCTTACAATTTCTGTTTGTTACAGAAGGTCTTTATTTCACCTCTCCACCATTTCTCCATGTTTGAAGCCTACCTGCTCCTCTTCTTCAGTTCTTTAAGTAGCATATAACATTACTATGATTATATTCATCTGCAGAGGTGGGTGTCCTGCACAGGAATTAAGATGTCACTTGAGATACTCACATATTGTATTAGAGAACCTGAGTTTTGACTCTGACTCTTGTTCTGCCTCCTGACCTCAGCTTGCTGCTAATGCACACTCTGGGAGGCAACCATGATGGCTCAAGTAATTGGAACCCTGCCATCCATGTGGGATACTCAAATTGAGTTCCCAGCTCATCTGTTGCATACATTTCTACTGGTTGGGAGTTTTATCTACATCTGTCTCTGTCCCCTCTCTCTGCATTTCATATAGATGAAAATAAATAAATAAAACTATAGTTATTACACTATGGAACTGAATATATATTAAATATATGGAAAGAAATCAAGAGGTACTCTTGAGATTTAACTGGAATAGCTAGCAGGTATGGCCAGATATTCTCTATTAGGGACTCTGTAGCACAGTGCCCTGTAGATTGGGTACAAATATGATCTCTGTCTCACAAAGTTACCTGGCTCTCTAGACAGTCAAGTTACATGTCAGGCTGTGTAATAGGAGAACAAACATAAGAGCAAGATCTGTCTTATTCTAATGCCAACTCTTACAGAACAATAGCATCACTGTCACTCCCAAGGACAGTTCATGAGAAAGAAAACTACACTGGCATACTCTCTAACATACTTTTAAGATTTTAATCTGGGGTTTACTATATTACGTTGTATTTGCATAGTGAAAATTTTCTATCTTCAGAGGAAGGACTCTGAGTTAGGTTTCATGATCTTCTTTGCCAAGGAACTAAGATTAAAAGGCACCACAAAGAATGTTACTTAAATTGGGAGGGGAAAACGCTGGAATCAAGAGAAGAAAATAGAAAGGATTCTGAGGATGAACACATTGCAGAAAATAGTTACAATGAGTAAATTTCAAGGTGTTTCATTGTCCAGAACCCTTGGCTTTACTGCTTCCAAAGTCAGTGGCCTCTATCAGCCTTCAGCAGTTCCCAGGATGGGTAATGTGCAAGGTGAACCCAGTGCCGTAAGGGTTTGACTGGAGATAGAAGATGGTCAGAATGCCAGATCTCTAACACCTTCCCCTAGGTGTAGAGTAGTTTTGACTATGATCTACCAAGTTGTGTGGAGAGACCAGATATTATAGGTTAACTCCTTTTATTATTTTTTTTTTATTTTTATTTTTTTTTAGTTTTTCTTTTTGCTTTCAAATTTTTATTTAATGAATATAAATTTCCAAAGCACAGCATATGGATTACAATGGCTTCGCCCCCATAACATCCCTCCCACCCACAACCCTCCCCTTTACAACTCCCTCTCCCCTTCCATTCACATCAAGATTCATTTTCGATTCTCTTTATATACAGAAGATCAGTTTAGCATACATTAAGTAAAGATTTCAACAGTTTGCTCCCACACAGAAACATAAAGTGAAAAATACTGTTTGAGTACTAGTTATAGCATTAAATCTCAATGTACAGCACACTAAGGACAAAGATCCTACATGAGGAGTAAGTGCACAGTGACTCCTGTTGTTGACTTAACAAATTGACACTCTTGTTTATGGCCTCAGTAATCAACCTAGGCTCTTGTCATGAGCTTCCAAGGCTATGGAAGCCCCCTGAGTTCACTGACTCTGATCATATTTAGACAAGTTTGTAGTCAAAGTGGAAGTTCTCTCCTCCCTTCAGAGAAAGGTACCTCCTTCTTTTATGACCCATTCTTTCCACTGGGATCTCACTCACAGAGATCTTTCATTTAGGTTTTTTTTTTTTTTTCCCCAGAGTGTCTTGGCTTTCCATGCCTGAAATACTCTCATGGGCTTTTCAGCCAGATCCGCATGCCTTAAGGGCTGATTCTGAGGCCAGAGTGCTGTTTAGGACATCTGCCATTCTATGGATGTGATCTGTATCTCACTTCCCATGTTGGATCATTCTCTCCCTTTTTGATTCTATCAGCTAGTATTTGCAGACACTATTTTTGTTTATGTGATCCCTTTGGTTCTTAGTCCTATCATTATGATCAATTGTGAACAGAAATTGATCACTGGGACTAGTGAGATGGCATTGGTACATTCCACCTTGATGGGATTGAATTGGAATCCCCTGGTATGTTTCTAACTCTACTGTTTAAGGTAAGTCAGCTTGAGCATGTCCCGAATTGCACATCTCTTCCCTCTCTTATAAAGATTTCTTTACTTATCTGAAAGGCAGAGTTACACAGAGAGAGGAGTGAAAGAGAGAGAGAGAGAGAGAGAGAGAGAGAGAGAAAGGGAGGTCTTCCACCCGGTGGTTCATCCCCCAGTTGGTCACAATGACCTGAAACTGTGCTGATCGGAAGCCAGGAGCCAGGTGCTTCTTCTGGGTCTCCCACATGGGTGCAGGGGCACAAGGACTTGGGCCATCTTCTGCTTACTCAGGCCATAGCAGAGAGGTGGATTGGAAATGGATCAGCCGGATTTTGAACCGGTGCCTATATGGGATACCGGCACTTCAGGCCAGGGCATTAACCTGCAATGCCACAGAGCCAGCCCCTCTAATTGCTCTTTATTTATGAGAGAGAGAGGGAGAAAGAGAGAGAATAAATATAGAGTGATCTCATCTATTGTCTCACTCTCCAAATACCCAAATCAGGTGGATCTGAGCCAGTGTGAAGGGGAGCTCAATTGAGGTCTCCCACATGACTGGTAGCAATCCAACTACTTGAGCCATCACCAGTGCCTCCCAAGGTGGGCTTTAGCAGGAAGCTGGAATCGAGTAGAACCAGGACACAAATATAGATACTTCAGTGTGGGATGCAGGAGTCCCTAGCAAGTTCTTTTTGAATTACTTATTTTTCCATCTACTTGAAAGGCTGAATGAGAGAGAAAAAGATCTATATCTCTGTCCATATTCACATATCTTTATATAGTACATCCATTGCTTCACTCCCCAAATGTTTACATAGCGAGGACGGGGCCAGGCTGAAGTCAAGAGTGAGGAACTCCTTTTAGTCTCCCACATGGATGGAAGGGGTCCAGGCATTTGAGCCATCATCTGTTGTCTTTCAAGATGCATTATCAGGAAGCTGGATTGGAATCAGAGCAGCTAGGACTTGAACAGGCATTCCTATGTGGGATGCAGGGTCTCAGTGGGAGACCTGGATTGAGTTCTTGGCTCCCAGCTCTTTTTTTGTTTTATGGCAGCCTAGGGGTCAAAACGTTCATGAAAAATATATAATGTGAATAAATTATGCATTGGTTTCAAAATTTTTGCATGAAAATAAAATCTTTTAATTTCATTTTTCACCCACTGAAGTTCCCTGTAATTTACACTAAGCTATTGTATATTTATGAAGAGCTAGAAGAGAGGATCCATGAGACCTAAACATAAGGAAATGAAAGGGAGATGGAGTTGCTGATTACTCTGACTTGGTCATTGTATTGGATGATCCCACCATGCCTCAAAATATATACATTTATTATGTGTTAATTAAAGCAAGAAAGAAAATGGATAAGTAACCAATAAAATCTTCCAGACAAACCATGAGAGTTCTTCAAAATATTCATCAAAGAGAAAAACAATGAGAAGAGCAAACCAAAAAATTAACAGACTTGAAAAATAAGAACCCAGTGTGATAGGCAGACTCTGTCTGGAGTTCCAATCCAAACAAAACTGTCTTTAAAAAGTGAAACAGTGGTTAAATGAGAATATAAATTGTATGTGTGATGATGTTCCTAATTACTAATTTTTAGACATGATAATGTATGGACATATTAGGTAAATTATTGCAGTTGTTTCACATTTTTTACTAAGGGAATTCACATCCAACTATTTATGGTTGGGCTTTTCTTACTGTTATTACTTTTATTAATATTTACTCTAATTGTAATGTGTTGTCTTGATTTTCTCCTTCCTCTCATGCCTTAGCCCTCATATTTAGCACTTTTGGGTCCATCCTGAACTAGCCTCCAAAAAACTCCATTTCTGCGATGGGTGTTAAGGTGCAGCAGGTTAAGCTGCTATCTGGGACTCTAACTCCCCATACTGGAATGCCAGCTTGAGTCTGGGCTACTCTGCTACTGGTCCAGCTCCTTGATAGTGCACCTAGGAGGCAGCAGATAAGAGCACAATACTTAAGTTCTTGCTCCCAACATGGAAGAATCTGTTGGAGTTCCTGGCTCCTAGCTTCAGCCTGGATCAGCTGTAGTTCTTGAGAGCCCTTGGAGAATGAATCTACTGACAGAAGATGTCTTTCACTCTCTGAAGTGAACTAGCAAGTTGAAGATCCTCCTATTCCTTTTACATAAATAAATATTTCAAAAGACTCCATCACAGCGATAACATTTAGACAAATGCTGAATTATTTTTGGAATGCTAAGCCAAATGCAGAATCACCCAAGATGTTGGTCCCTCATCTTCAGTTCTAAGAGCTACCACCCACTAGACCAGTGTAGACTTGACCTTTTCACAATGCCCCACAGTCCTACCTCAGTGTAAGGAGTCTTGCCTTCTCATATCACCCTCACCTACACATTATTCCATTAGCAAATGTCTTCTGTAACACAGCAACACAAATCAGTTTCTTACTGGGAAAATGGAGTAGAATTTACGTAGAAAATGTAGAGCTTCTTTCAGATAACCTGTTCTTTAGGGTGAAAAATAACTTCCTACATACTCCCATGTTCTCAAAGAAGTGTAAATAATGGAGAAACCCAATGTTATAGACATAGAGATGGATCATCATGGATACCAGGAAGAGGCAAGGGGGTCAGAGTTTAGAACTGAAACATGAAATATGATTTCTGCATTTGTGCTGAGGCACTGAGGGGGAGTTTCTAAACTCAGTGTGAGTGTGAAGTCCCCAGGCAATGAGGAACACACACACTTTGGATTAGTATGCACACTGCATGGTCCACACAGGGCAGGTTCTGTGGCTGTCCTGGAACCAGGTGTGTCAGGCAGTCCCTCTGCCCTGAACATTGGACAGCTTGATACCAGAATGCCTTTGGCTGAGCCCTGCCTAGCGTGAGCCCTTTCTGATCCTAGCACCCAACGATTTACATTGCTTCCTCTGATGCAGTCAATTTTTACCATCTCAGATGGCATTCATGCAAATAGATTATTGATGAAGGCTTCATACTAGATCATCCCATGAGGAGTTCCTCCCCAGTGCCTTGCTGTTTGACATGGCACTGGAAGAATGACCTCAGAAATGTTTTCCAACTTGTGTTTTTCACCTGGATGCAGGAGCACAGCTGCAAAGCCCCAGGGCAGAAAGCACTCAGGATTCCTCCAGAGAAGGGGAAGACTTGACTGAAAGGAGTCAGGGGCAATATCATGGTCTCTCCAGCCAGCGACAATAATGCGCACACACACACACACACACGATATATGTGCGGCTGCTTTATACTGCAGGTTACCTCCTCTCACACCTGGGGCTTGCAGACTCTTCCATGATGTTTCCTTGGACATTCATGCCCATGTTCCTGCAGCTTCCCTTCCTGTGGTCCAGTGTGGCCTCCCACAGCTGTTTCCAGGGAAGGAAACACAACCTACACAAGGATGGAGACATGATGATCGGTGGTTTCTTCTCCCTTTACACATTTCAGCCTTCCCAGGAGATCCGAGAGGCTAACAGCAAACTTCTGGAACTGCAGTAAGTGACTGTTTCACTTGAGTGTCTTCTGTCTGGCCACGATGTGAGTCATGTCCAGAGGCTGTGTGCATAGACAGAATAGTGCTCTTGGTGCCCTTCTCTTTAGCACCTGTCCATAATGTATTCTCTCTCTCCCTCTGCAGACTGTGTTTCCACCTTTAAAAGGAGGTGGCAGAATACTTTGTTTTTCCCCATTTGTAGGGCTTGGGACTGACTGAGCAATCACTCTACACCTTACCCTATCATCTAGACCCTCCACCACTGCCAGAGGTCAAACCAAGCCCCTTAGGATGACAATGCAGTCTACTTGCATGAGTGCATTTCTAAGAGGAACAGAGAAGTGTTCTTTCCACAGCATCTTGTGACTGTTTCCATCAAGTTTACAATTCCTAATGTCCCTATAGAAACTGTTATGTACACCTCATATACTGTACAATAAATTAAAAATGTTATGACAAAAATTAAAAAAGACAAGCATCAGGGATGGAGAGGAAGGGAGGGAGGGAGGAAGTGAGAAGTATCATATTAGAATTTTATCTATAAACTATATTAAATCTGTTCTCTTTATATTAATAAAAATAAATAGTAAAATGAAAACAATTCAGGGGAGGCTGAGTCAAATTTGATGAAATGAATCTTGGCCAGGGCAGAAGGCAGGGTTTCCTCGGGTGCTGGAGAGGGTGCTTGTCTCTCATCATAGCCACAGTGAACCTCCTGCTCTGCTTGTCCTCTGATTTTCTCTGTCTGCAGCTTAGTTTACTTTTAAAAGAGGGATTTATTCCTGATTGTCCATGTACAAATGGTTTCTTATAGTTAATGTTCGTATTTTTATGGATAGATAGGTATAGATTGGTTGATCATATGTATACCTCATGTCTTCATATATTATTTGATTTCTTGCTCTTTTTATCTTAATTTTAACTTGTTATTTCCCTTTTAAAGAACTTTGTGAAATATTCTTATGAAGTTGCTGCTTAAATATTGTAGAGTGTGGGACCTTTACAGTAGAAACAAGCATGAACTTTAAAGAAGAGTAAAAAGTAATTATCTGTCTCCTCGTGTTTCTGCCTTTTTGCCAGGGTTTATTTTGCAATCCATAAGTCTGCATATCACCCTGTGTTGCCTCCATATGTTAATTCCTGGACGCAACTTCATTATAAACTATTTGGAGCCTCTAGAATTTATTATCTCATCAAACACAAGTTTATTCCCTCAGTTTTTCATTCCTGATAGTTTACTTTCACTATTATTAGAATAATTTCTTATTTTACAATGCTACCTTAATGATGGATGAAACTTTTGTATAAACACAGAGATCAAACTCTATTTGCTTATTTACTGTTCTGTTCTGATTTGTCTGTATTTTCTGGAAGCATTGCGAATATATTTAAAATATATTTAAAATGTTGCACAAAGAAGTAGTTGCTGTTGTTTTCTTCCCCTTGGAAAGTTGTATCCCCCCCTTATGCTTGTTCTGAATAATATTCACTAATTTTCTGAGCTCTTAAAAATTTGAGAGTCATTAATTTAAATGGTTATTAAAGTAAAAAGAAATAGAATTATACCTCTAACCTGCAGGCACTTAAAGTACTTACCTCAGAATATAAAAAATATATAAATGGCCCAAATAAAAGCAAAGATGGAGTTAAAAGCAAACACCATTCTGAAAACCTTCAAAAATGATGTATTTGGAAAAGAATCTTACAAACTTTCAGGCCACAGCAATCAATGAATTGGATTTAAAGCCAGTCATAATTGGAGTCTTTTCCCTAAGGACTCCTGTGCCCTGTATGCAGGTTGGAGTCTAAGAACTATCAGCATGTTCTGGCTTTGGTCTTCGCCATTGAAGAGATCAACAGGAGCCCACATCTTCTACCCAATGTGTCTCTGGGATATGATGTCTTCAGTGTCCTACACAGTAATCGAAGAATCTTACATACTCCCTTCCTTTGGCTCTCAGGGATGGTTAAGAGCATCCCAAATTACACTTATGGAAGAGAAAGCAGTTCTGCAGCAGTACTGACAGGGACAACGTGGGCAACTTCTGCCCAAATTGGGACACTTCTGGGACTCTACAAGTTTCCACAGGTGAGCGGGGTCTCATGAGGAGAGAGAGCTGTTTTTGGCTGATGCCAATCTCTGGTGCTTTGAAGGGTGAGAGGAGGAGACTGGATTTAAGCATCTGTTAAAGTACATAATCTCAAAGGGCAAATACTCAGAAAACTGGTGGAGAAACCACATTTTCTTTTTGAAATAGAAGAAGAGAGAGAGAGAGAGAGAGAGAGAGAGAAGACAGAGTTTTTTTTCCTGGAACTATTACATTGTTAATTCTTCCCTAGAATGTTCTAAAGGAGTGAGGATGACTAGAAAAAGAAATGATTTGTTAAATGAAAGTTAAAAAAAATGTATCAATGGAATCTGAAAAAAAATATTTGTGAACATAATGGTTAATCTTTAAATTAAAAAAATCATACAATATAACCAGTTATTACCAATGAAAGAATTCTATTGCATTTTGATCAGGTAATTTTAGTTCAGCTATGAATTTTAATAAAAACCAGTATGTCCCCACGCCCCCCAAAAAAAGAAAAAGAAATGATAGATTTTTTTTCCTCTGACCAACTTTTTTTTTTTTACTTTTATTTAACAAACATAAATTTCAAAAGTACAACTTATGGATTACAGTGGCTTTCCCCCCCGCCCATGACTTCCCTCCCACCTGCATCCCTCCCATCTCCCGCTCCTTCTCGCATTCCATTCACATCAAGATTCATTTTCAATTCTCTTTATATACAGAAGATCAATTTAGTATACATTAAGTAAAGATATCAACAGTTTGAATGCACACAGAAACACAAAGTGTAAAGTATTGTTTGAGTATCAGTTATACCATTACTTCACATTGTACAACACATTAAGGACAGAGCTCCAACATGAGTAGTAAGTGCACAGTGACTCCTGTTGTTGACTTAACAAATTGACACTCTTGTTTGTGGTGTCAGTAATCACCCTAGGCTCTTGTCATGAGTCGCCAAGGCTACGGAAGCCTTTTGAGTTTGCTGACTCTGATCTTATTTAGACAAGGTCATAGTCAAAGTGGAAGTTCTCCCCTCCCTTCAGAGAATGGTAACTCCTTCTTTGATGGCCTGTTCTTTCCACTGGGATCTCACTCACAGAGATCTTTCATTTAGGTGTTTTTTTTTTTTTTTTCCAGAGTGTCTTGGCTTTCCATGCCTAAAATACTCTCATGGGCTTTTCAGTTGGATCCGAATGCCTTAAGAGCTGACTCTGAGGCCAGAGTGCTGTTTAGGACTTCTACCATTCTGAGTCTGCTGTGTATCCCACTTCCCATGTTTGATAGTTCTCTCTTTTTAATTTTATCAGTTTGTATTAGCAGACACTAGTCTTGTTTATGTGATCCCTTTGACTTTTGATCCTATCATTATGATCAATTATGAACTGAAATTGATCACTTTGGTGAGATGGCACTGGTACATGCCACCTTGATGGGATTGAATTAGAATTCCCTGGCACGTTTCTAATTCTACCATTTGGGGCAAGTCCGATTGAACATTTCCCAAATTGTACATCTCCTCCCTCTTTTATTCCCACTCTTATATTTAATAGGGATCACTTTTTATTTAAATTTAAAGACATAAGATTAATTGTGTGTTAATTAAAGAGTTATGACTAGCTTTTTAAAAAGATTTACTTATTTATTTGCAAGTCAGAGTTAAACAGAGAGAGGAGAGGCAGGGAATGAGAGAGAGAGAGAGAGAGAGAGAGAGAGAGAAGTCTTTCATCCTGTGGTTCACTACCCAATTGGCTGCAATGACCAGAGCTTCACTGATCTGAAGCCAGGAGACAGGAGCTTCTTCTGGATCTCCCATGTGGGTGCAGGGGGCCAAGGACTTGGGCCATCTTCTGCTGCTTTTCTGGGCCATAGCAGAAAGCTGGATTGGAAGTGGAGCAGCCAAGTCTTGAACCGGTGCCCATATGTGATGGCGCTTCAGGGCAGGGCATTAACCCGCTGCACCATAGCGCCAGCCCCTTCTGACCAGCTTTTGATTAATGCCTGTCAGAACTGAGATTATGATTTTTGGAAAGCCTGTTCTTCATGTTGCTTCATATTTTATTTTCCCTTTAGCTAACTTTCGGCACTTTTGATCCTATTCTGAGTGACAATGGCAAGTTTCCTTCCCTCTATCAGATGGCTCCCAAGGAGATGACTCTGGTGCATGGCATGGTGTCTCTGATGCTTCATTTCGGTTGGACATGGGTGGGGCTGGCCATCTCAGATGATGAGAAAGGTATGCAATTTCTCTCAGAATTGAGAGCCGAGATGGACAGGAATGGAGTTTGTATAGCCTTTTTGAAAATGATCCCTGTTACTGTGTTGCTGTATTACTCAAGAACCTCATTGTATCACTGGCAGATCATGAAATCATCAGCAAATGTTGTTATTATTTTTGGTGACAATGAATCTTTTTTAGGCCTGACCTTTGGAAGGTGGAAACAAATAATGATGTGGAAAGTGTGGGTCACCACCTCACAATGGGATATCACCACTGGGAGGAGACATTTCCTACTTGACTCATTCCATGGAGCACTCATTTTCTCACATCACCATGGTGAAATTTCTGGTTTCACAGATTTTATCCGAACAGCCAATCCATCCAGATACCCGGAGGACCCTTTCCTTGCTGACCTGTGGTTGACATATTTTAATTGCTCTATTTCTAAACTTGACTGTAAAGCTTTGGAGAACTGTCCACCCAATGCATCCTTGGAATGGTTGCCTTGGCACCATTTTGATGTGACCATGACAGAAGAGAGTTACAATATATACAATGCTGTGTATGCTGTGGCTCATGCCATACATGAGATGATTCTTCAACAAGTAGAAATGTCACCAGGAAGAAATGGAAAAGGACTGGTGTTTTCTCCTTGGCAGGTAATGGCTCTGCCATTGGATGGTACATACTGTCACTTGTTGTCAAGATGTTTTAAGCAAACCAGATCATTTATAATCCTTCTCCAAAAGCACTGGGGAATATGACTTGTATGTATTGCCCAGGACATAAATGTAGGCTTGGGTCTAAGTGATTGTCAAGAGCATGGAGCCAAGAGGGCAAGCAGAAAGGCAATGTGAATCTGGGCTGATGCTTTGTTTTTTATAAGGCCTCAACAGCCTGCCCTTCTACTGCTTTCCATAGGAGAAATCTAGAGGTTTCCTCTGAAGTTCTTTTTAAAATTTTTCAGAGAACTGATTTCAGGTATTTCATAGAGTTCTAAAAAGATAGCCATACTTCTCTCCCAACAGGAAGAGGACTAGTTCTTTAAGTTCATAGAAGATGTTGAGCCTTATCATATAATGTAACTAAGCAGCAACTTCAGTCACTGATAACCTCACTTTGCAGACTGATGTTCTGGATACTTCAGTAGGAAAAGGGTGTGGGTTTGACTCAACAGCTGAGATTTTTCTGAGCAGTCAGCCTCCTTATTGTGTACATGTGCATGTTTCGGAGTTTTCTGTTTATTCTTACTGATATTTTAGACATATTATGATTAGTTTTCCATGGCCTTTCATTTCTGTTACTCCCTTGTGTGCCTGTAATACGTTGACACCTTCAGCAATGCATTTCAGATGATAAGAGACTTTCAGTAATTTAGGCTTTGTGTCTGAACCCTGGGATGCCCTTTATCATCAAATGATGCATCTCTTTTAGCTGCACCCTTTTCTGAAGAACCTCCAGTTTAACAATCCTGCTGGTGACACAGTGAATTTCAATCAGGAACACAAATTGAATGGAGAGTATGACATTCTCAACTATTGGAATTTCCCAGATGGTGTTGGAATTAAGGTGAAAGTAGGGACGTTTTCTCCATATGCTCCACATGGTCAACACCTGTCTTTATATGAAGATTTGATAGAGTGGGCCACAAAAATTGAACAGGTGTGTTGGAACTAATAATAGTTCTTTGCACTACTCATAAATAGCCAATCTTTAAAAAAAGATTTATTGGGGCCAGTGCTGTGGCATAGTGGTGAAACCTGCCATCTGTAGTGCCAGCATCCCATATGGGTGCTGGTTCGAGTCCCAGCTGCTCCACTTCTGATCCAGCTCTCTGTTATGACCTGGGAAAGCAGTAGAAGATGTCCCAAGTCCTTGGACCCCTGCTCCTGTGTGGGAGACTGGGAAGACGCTCCTGGCTCCTGGCTTTGGATTGGCACAGCTCCAGCCATTGCAGCCATCTGAGGAGTGAACCAGTGGATGGAAGACCTTTCTCTGCCTCTGCCTCTCACTAACTCTGCCTTTCAAATAAATAAATAAGATAAGTAAATAAAATAATAAGATATTTTAAAATATCTTTTAAAAAGATTTGTTTATTTGAGTAGCAGAGTTAGAGACAGAAAGAGGGAGAGACAGAGGGAGGTCTTCCATCCACTGGTTCACTCCCCAAATGGCCACAATGGCCAGAGCTGGGTCTACTTGAAGGCAGGAACCAGGAGCTTCTTCCAGGTTTCCCACGTAGGTGCAGGGGCCCAAGGACTTGGGCCAACATCCACTGCTTTCCCAGGACATTATCAAGGAGCTGGATGGGAAGAGGAGCAGCAGGGATGTGAACTGGCACCCATATTGGATGCCGATACTGCAGGCCAAGGCTTAACCTACTATGCTACATTGCTAGCCCCAAATGATTAATCATGTTGTGGAGGTTTCTGTTTACTCATAGCACAGTAAATGGCTATTTATGCCATTTAACAACTCATTTCACAACTAAGAGATTTTTCTTACTGTATTTCTGTTGGATATGAAGGGAACACAGCTATTCAGTCATATTTCTCAATTCTCATACATTTCACAGCATACAATAAACATGGCATTCAGTCCATAAAATTGGATGTAGATGTATGTGCAAGTTAAGTTTATTTTGATTTCAGTATTGTAAAACACCCTAGTTGGTAGAAGAATGGGTGATACTCTCAGTAGTGACCAACACATATCTGAATGTCCTCAGCCTCCCCAGTCCATATGCAGTGCGAGTTGTAGCCCTGGATTCAGGAAGACCCCTCGAGAGGGAAAGGCTGCCTGTTGTTTTGATTGCACTCTGTGCCCAGAGAATGAGATTTCCAATCAGACAGGTAAGTGTACCTATTTGGAGAAATTCCTCATTTCTCCTTTATTCTCCCCCATCCATCCAAGGAAGTGGAAAGGGCCTAGAGGAGAACTGCAGAGACAAGGATCTCCACTTTTAAGTTAATAATGAAATTATTATTATAAATACTTACCCTATTATGTTAGTCTGCATCGGCCTTGAACAAGACAGGCAGATATAAACAAATCTCCTATCTTCTGGTCCAGTTCCAAAATGTCTGCAGTGGCCAGGGCTGGACCATTCCTGGAATCAGGAGCTGAGAACTGAGTCCAGAGCTCTCATGTGTGTGTTAGGAACCCTGCCACTTCAATCTTCACCCGTGCCTTCCAGGGTCCTCAATGACAGGAAACTGGAACAGGAGCCATATCTGGGAATCAAACCTGGTTACTCAAATGTGGGACATGTGTGCCTTCACCAGTATTCTCAACATTCACTCAGTGACATATGTGTTTTCAGGCATTATTTTACACATACAGCAGACATTAGTGTCTTTATAAAACTCCTCTTGACCACCACTCAGTCACCTAAGTTCCATCTCCATCATGGAGTGAACACAGGTATCATATGTATCTACTTTTCATTTTCTGTGAAATGACGTTTAGATCACATTGAAGATATAGATACTACAAGTCCTTATTTTCCCAGGACCTGACACTGTTTTTCAGTGGAGCAGGTACTTATAAATGTTGTGCTTGATTTACTGGTATGTATTACTGATGTGTAAAACATGTTTATGATATACCATATTCTGAGTGAGGAGATTGTATTTCATGCTCTTTTCTAGTTCACAGGTAAGAAAAAAATATAGAGATATACAATCATAGTAGTAGTATTGACTGCAATGAAAGTATGCACAATGCAGTTGTCTGTAGGACGTATTACGTGGTGGTATCTGCATTCTTTGAGGTGATGTTGTGGATCTCATCCAACAGATGTTAGTATTAATATTGTGAATTAAATGGGGAGTAAATTCTTGGTAGAATTATTAGAAGTGGCTGAATTTGGGGAATTTCCGGTTCACACAACATGCAGAGAACCTAAGAAAAAGGCTTAATTGGTAAAGCACAGAGAATATGTGGATGGGGTTGGGAGATGATATGGGAAATGGACTGAATATTTGTATATTGGATTTTCCATAATTATCACTTTGGAATGCTTCAGACTTACAGTATTTAATGGTGTTATACTGAAATCATTTCTTTTTTTAAAGTTGAAAATCCATTTATTACACCCAACCAAAACATCATAGCTTAGCCTACCCTTCCTTACACATGCTCGGAACATGAAGTCACTTATATAGAGTGGGGATTTTCTAAGATTGATTTTGTGATTGCTATGTTGTTTAATATTAAAATGATGTAGCATTAACTCAGTTTATTAGAAATGTAGGAGATTACTGTTATGGTCTGCATATCACTGACTTGGGTAAAGGCATTTTGTGTGTACACATTGGGCACAAGTTCATATGTGTTCCATGTGCAATGATGGAGAGTGCATCATCCACCAGCTTGAATTCCAATAGCCTTGGAAATATAAATACACCACTAAACTACTCATGGGTTAGAGAATAAAGAAGATAGATGTAGGTCTGATCTGATTTCATCATCATTTAAAAAAAATCATCTATTATTTTTCACTTTATGTTTCTGTGTGGGAACAAACTGTTGAAATCCTTACTTAAGGTATACTAAGCTGATCTTCTGTATACTAAGATAATCGAAAATGAATCTTGATGTGAATGGAAGGGGAGAGGGAGTGGGAAAGGGGAGGGTGGTGGGTGGGAGGGACGGTATGGGGGGGAAAGCCATTGTAACCCATGAGACGTACTTTGGAAATTTATATTCATTAAATAAAAGATAAAAAAATAAATAAATAAATAAATAAATAGAATCCGTACTCAAAAAAAAAAAAAAAAGAAGATAGATGTATATTTCCATTTAGAAACACTGTTTATTAAATCTGGTGTCCAGTTAGAGTGAAATTTATAATTCCAAAGAAATTTATAATTCTAGATTTTATATATTAATGTATAATGTATATTAAAAGCTGAACTTATCATTTCTAAGAATTTATTGAGTACCGGAAAAAGAACACTAAATTAAACACAAAAGAGAACATAAGAAATGATAAACATAGGAAAATAAAATCCAAACATAAACAGGATAAGCAAGTTGATTCTTGTATAAAACAAATAAAATTGATCAAGAAGAAGCAGGAAATAATGCAGGAAATAAGAGATACTAAGACTGAAAATAGGTCATCAATATAGATTTCCCAAAAAAGTTAACATAGTGAAGATATATTATAAATGATTCTTGTTAATACTTTTGAAACCTCAGGTGTAGTTCTCAAATTCTCCTGTCAGTAGGATTTGTCAGAACCATCCTCAAAGCACAAATAACATTAAGTGAGGAATTTTTAAGAAGTCCCCATACATTTTTATTATCTCCAACAGCTTCTTTTGAGGGGGATTTATCAATCCTTCATAAAAGAACAGTTATTTACTAAGTCTGTTCAGAGAAAAGGAAAATTCAGGGAATTCTTTGAAAATGGCCTAAGTTTGGCTCCTCAGTATTACAAAGTCATTTCAAAAAGAGGAATTTTTTTAAAGATTTTTATTTATTTATTTGAGAGGTAGAGTTACAGACATTGTGAGAGAGAGAGAGAGAAAGGTCTTCCTTCAATTAATTCACTCCCCAAATGGCTGCAATGGCTGGAGCTGCACTAATCGTGAGCCAGGAGCCAGGTGCTTCTTCCTGGTCTCTCACATGGGTGCAGGGGGAACCAAGGAGTTAGTCCGTCTTCAACTGCTTTCCCAGCCCATACCAGAGACCTGGATTGGAAGAGGAGCATCTGAGACTAGAACTGGTGCCCATATGGGATGCAGGCAGCACAGTTGAAGGATTAACCTACTGCACCATGGCGCCACCCCCAAAAGAGGAAATCTATAGCCATTTACTTCCTTTTTTTAAAAGATTTATTTATTTATTTGGAAGTCAGAGTTACACAGAGAGAGAAGGAGAGAGACAGGGGGAGGGAAAAGGGGAGGGGGAGAGGGAAGAGAAGAGAGAGGGTAAGAGGAGGGGAGGAGGAGGGGGAGGGGAGAGGGGAGAGGGGAGAAGGAAAGTGAGAGGTATTCCATCTGCAGTTTACTCCCTGGTTGGCCACAATGGCTGGAGCTGTGCTGATCCAAAGCCAAGAGCCAAGAGCTTCTTCTGGGTCTCCCACGTGGATGTAGGGGCCCAAGGACTTGGGCCACCTTGTACTGCTTTCCCAGGCCACAGCAGAGAGCTGGATTGGAAGTGGATCAGCCGGGACTAGAACTGGTGCCCAATATAAAACAATACACTAGTACCTCAAAGGAAGAAATAAAAACCCCAATAATGGCAAAAAATAATAAAATCAACATCCGTGCATGTTATAGAAATAACAAAAAGCAATTCTTCCCAAATTATGAGTAGGCCAGAATTTTCTTCATAAAGAGTATTTGCATAATCACACCATAGTTTTGAGGCAGTGTTGAAAGAATAAAATAAGAACATTCAACACAACCACATCTGACTAAGTATTAGGCTGCATATCCTGTCTAGTAAATATTTTCAAAAGAGAAAAGAATTGGAAAAGAAGAAATAAAATGATGTTCAGATTATATTTTATACAAATATAAAATCCACATGAATAAGCTTAGTATTTGACTATAACAGTGACTGAGTATAAGGATAACATGCAAAAATTTACTTTATTTTTATATACCGGCCACAAACCATTTGAAAATGAAAAATTTGAGTGTTTATAACATCTTACAAGTAAAAATAGCTAGAAGTAAAGGGAAGAGTCTTGACCATAAATTTACAGAACATAATTGAGAAAAATAAAAGACTGACATAAGTGGACACAGTACGCTCATAGTTGGAGAGGCTCAATATTGGAAAGATTTGGGAACTACCAAAGATGAGCTCCTGATTCAATGATTTGCAATCTACATTGCAAGATATTCTGTAATGGAAATTACAACTCATTACAGGATGAGAGGACGTACTCCACCTGGTATCAGCTACTGTTAGTCCTCTCTGTCCTTGATACTCTGTTTTATTTATTTTTATAAAGATTTATTTATTTGCAAGTCAGAGTTACACAGAGAGAGGAGAGGCAGAGAGAGAGGCAGAGAGAGAGAGAGAGAGAGAGAGCTGCCATCTGATGGTTCACTCCCCAATTGACCACAATGGCCAGAGCTGTGCTGATCAGAAGAAGAAAAAGAGCCAGGAGATTCTTCTGGGTCTCCCATGTGGGAGAAAGGGCCCAAGGACTTGGGCCATCTTCTGCTTACCCACACCATAGCAGAGAGTTGGATTGGAAGTGGAACAGCCGGATTTTGAACCGGTGCCCATATGGGATACCAGCACTTCAGGCCAGGGCATTAACCCACTGCACCACAGCACTGGCTGTCCTTGATATTTTGTAAATTGTCATGTTCCTGATAGTATCTCAATAAGGGGCCTCAGTTTTGAAAAAATGAAGCCAAGAGATTGCTTTTAGAGACATAAATAAATGAGATAGGTAGGTGTTTCAAATTTTGAAACTTTGCCTTGAAGTAGATGGTGCATTGCAGGTTCTTCTTCAGTGGTGTCCTAAGTCACAGGTTCCAGCCTCATTGAAGGATTTAGTGCATTTATATGCAAGGATGTGGTATTCTGTGAGGACACAGCAAGAAGGTGTCATCTGTAAGATACCCTACACTGGACACTGCAGCAGGATCCTTGGTCTTGAATGATTGAGTCTCCAGAAACATGAGAAGTGATTTATGCTGTCATAAATTAAGCAGGATAAGATAGGGCATTTGGGGCCGGTGCCATAGCTCACTAGGCTAATCCTCCACCTGTGGCACCAGTACCCTGGTTTCTAGTCCCAGTTGTGGCACCAGATTCTGTCCTTGTGGCTCCTCTTCCAGTCGAGCTCTCTGCTGTGGCCTGGGAAGGAAGTGGAGGATGGCCCAAGTGCTTGGGCCCTGCACCTGCATGGGAAACCAGGAGGAAGCCCCTGGCCCCTGTCTTTGGATCGGCGCAGTGTGCTGACCATAGTGGCCATTTGGGGAGTGAACCAACAGAAGGATGACCTTTGTCTCTGTCTCTCTTTCACTAATTCTGTCAAAAAATAAATAAAAAGAGAGGGCATTTGATGATTACAACAAAGTTTCCTGAGACAGTAAGTCTTTTGTTGTTGTTGTGGGAAAAAATAAGATCTCATGAATAAAAGAAGAAATAATAGTGTTGTGTCTTAGCCATAATTTAGATGAATGATATTAATCAGGAATCCTTCCCTATACATTATTCTGATACATGCTTCCCACAGCTTATTCGGTGTGCTTTTGGAAGTCGGGGAACATAACACTAAGCACTGCTGAAGCTGGGCTGGTGCATTTTTCCTGTCTTAGCAGATATGGATCAATGCGTGAAGTGTCCAGAGCAGCAGTATGCCAACAAAGAGCGAGACCGTTGCCTGCACAAAGCTGTGGCCTTCCTGGCTTATGATGACCCCTTAGGAATGACCCTGGTCTGCACAGCTCTGTGCTTCTCTGTCCTCACCGCTGTGGTTCTTGGGGTCTTTGTGAAGCACCGAGACACTCCCATAGTCAAGGCCAACAATCGTTGTCTCAGCTACATCCTGCTCATTGCCCTCATCTTTTGCTTCCTCTGTTCCTTATTGTTCATTGGTCGTCCCAGTACAGCCACCTGTGTCCTCCAGCAGATCACGTTTGGAGTGGTGTTCACCGTGGCTGTTTCCACCATCCTGGTCAAAACTATCACTGTGGTTCTGGCCTTCAAGGTCACTGCCCCTGGGAGAAAGATGAGACACTGGCTGATATCAGGAGTACCTAACTCCATTATTCCCATCTGCTCCCTGATCCAACTTGTTCTTTGTGCCATCTGGTTGGGGACCTCTCCTCCATTTATTGACACAGATGCACACTCTGAGCATGGCCACATCATCCTGGTGTGCAACAAGGGCTCAGTCATTGCCTTCTACTGTGTCCTGGGTTACCTGGGTTCCTTGGCCCTGGCGAGCTTCACTGTGGCTTTCCTAGCCAGGAATCTACCTGACATGTTCAATGAAGCCAAATTCCTGACATTCAGCATGCTGGTGTTCATCAGTGTCTGGGTGACCTTCCTGCCTGTCTACCACAGCACTAAAGGGAAGATCATGGTGGCCATGGAGGTCTTCTCCATCTTGGCCTCCAGTGCAGGGCTCCTGAGCTGCATCTTTGTCCCCAAGTGCTACATTATTCTCTTCAGACCTGAGAAGAACTCTTTAAAAGGATTAAAGGATACAGTAGATTCCAAGGGAAATAGCTGTTTAAAGATTAGTTCATTAGTTCATTAGTTCACATATTTAGACCAAAATTGATAAAACTCTGATTTTGCATTCCATGTTATAAAGTAATTGATTCAGCTTAACCTCCTTATAGACAGCATCCACTTCTCTGTTAAAGAAGGTTTGCTTATTTTATATATATATATATATATATATATACACACACACACGCACACACACACACAGACACACATACTGAAAGGCAGAGTTAGAGAAGGCGGAGAGATAGAGAGACCTTCCCTCCAGTGCTTCACTTCCCATATGACTGCAGTGACTCAGGCCAAAGCCAGGAGCTTCATCTGAGTCTGCCCTATGGGTTTCAGGGGCCCAAACATCTTAAGCCAACTATTGCTGCTTTCCCCATGTCTTTGGCAGGGAGTTGGATCAGAAGTGAAGCAACAGGGCCATTAACTGGTGCCTATTTGGGATGCTGGCATTGTAGGTGGCAATTTACCACCATTCCAGAACATTTACCCCAATTTATCTCTCTTTTTTAAAAATAATGCTGTGTATAATGTTCTCAGTCAGACTTTATGCTCACAAACACAAACTCCATCTCAGGTAAAGACTCTTGAAACTTCATTTCTACTAGTTTCTATATTTTCCTTGTCGACTGGTAGACACTTAAATATTCATATTTTAATAAAATGAATTTACAAGATTGTTTCCTGTTTTATTTTCCTCCTTTAGAGTTTATAATAAAAAGATTTATAATCTAGTTGGGACTGGCCAGCACCGCAGCTCAATAGGATAATCCTCCACCTGCAGTGCTGGCACACTGGGTTCTAGTCCCAGTTGGGGCACCAGATTCTGTCCCAGTCACTCTTCTTTCAGTCCAGCTCTCTGCTGTGGCCCAGGAGTACAGTGGAGAATGGCACAAGTGGTTGGGCCCTGCACCCACATGGGAGACCAGGAGAAGCACCTGGCTCCTGGCTTCAGATCAGTGTGGTGTACCGGCCGCAGTGCACTGGCCATAATGGCCATTGGGGGGTGAACCAATGGAAAAGGAAGACTTTTCTCTCTTTCTCTCTCTCTCACATTCCACTCTGCCTGTCAAAAAAAAAAGTTGGAATTTTTTCAGTACTGTAATTGGTCATGTTAAATCATGTTTCATGTGTTTACAACATTGTCACAAACCCCTTAATTATGTATCACTTTCAGATTTGAAATGCTGTAATAATTGCACATCAATTTTTATATGTAGCAGAGTATACAAAATTGTATTCCATTTGTTTATTGTTTTTTATGTATTTTGGCTTTAGGTTTTCTGTTGTCAATTCCAGACTTTAAAAATTGGTTTTTACTTTTGAGGTGAAATTAATACAACAAAAGAGTAACCATTTTAGAGTGAACTAATGGCATGCGTGGCATTCACTGTTTTGTGCAACCATCATTTTTGTCAAGTTCTAAAATACTGTCATCACGCAAAATCAACTTCTTTATTCAGTGGTCACTCAATTCCTGCTCCTCACAATCAGACAACCACCCTCTGCTTCGTGTTTCTGGATTTGACAATGCTGAGCATTCCATACAAATGAAATCCTGCACTGTGCAGACTGGTTTGGTGGCCTTTTTTCACTTAGCATAGTGTTTCCAAGCATCATCCAAATTATAGTAGGTATTCATGATGTTCATGACAAACTATTATTTCTTTGAATTGATTCATTGAAGTTTTAAAAGATTTAGTTTTTTATTTGAAAGGCAGAGTTGGAGCAATACAGAGAGAGAGCTTATATTCATTGGTTCACTCCAAATGGCTACAGTGGCTGGAGTTGGCCCAATCTGAAGCCAGGAGCCTCTTCCAGGTCTCTCAAGTGGGTTCAGGGGCCCAAGGACTTCGTCAGTCCTGTGATGCTTTCCCAAGCACCTTTGCAGGGAGCTACATTGGAAGTGGAGCATCTGGGAACTGAACTGGTACCCATATGAAATGCTGGTGCTGCAAGTGGCAGCTTTACCTGCTACACCACAGCACTGGCCCCTAATTCACTGAATTTTATTTCAGAGATAGAACATGATTTGTTATGAACTTTGACTGTTTGGAATAGACAACTGTGAACACTGATGTACAAGGTGTTGTTTGTGTATTTTCAGTTATGTTGATTTTACTCCTAGGAGTGGAATGGTTTGATTATGTATGAATTCTTTTTTAAAAAAGCTTTATTTATTTGAAAGAGTTACAGAGAGAAGAAGGAGAGGGAGGGGGAGGGAGAGTTCTTCCATCTGCTGGTTCACTCCCCACATGGCTGCAACAGCTGGAGCTGGGCTGATGCAAAACCAGGATCCAGGAGTCTTCTCCTGGTCTTCCATGCTTGTCTAGGGGACCAAGGACTTGGGTCATCTTGTACTGCTTCCCCAGGCCACAGCAGATAGCTGGATCATAAGTAGAGCAGCCAGGATTTGAACTGCTGCCCATATGGGCTGCTGATGCTGTAAACCAGGGCTTTAATCCACTGTGATACTGCACAGGCTCCGATGAGCATCCTTTGTAATGCTTCTTGGTCACACGTTTATCCGTGCAAAAATGTCTATTCAATTCGTATCCCTATTATGTTGATTCTGTTTGTATTTTTGTTGTTCCTTTCTGCTTTTTTAGAATATGTGTTTGATACTAGACACTTACCTGGAGGATTTGCAGCCATATTCTTCCATTTTCTATCGAGTCTTTGTTCTTTCTTGATTCTGTCCTTTCTTGTACAAATCTTTTGAATTTTGGTCAAACCCTATTCACCTTTTCTTCTATGGTTGCTTGTGCTTTTCCTATTGTATCATAGAATACATTATTTTATCCAGAGCCATGAAGAACTACCCTTTTTTTCTTCTAAGAATTATTAAAAATGAATTTTCATTCAGGCTGTTGAATCAACATGAGTTAAATTTTGGGTAAGGCATGAGGTAGGGTAAATCTCATTGTTTTAAGAGTTTGTGTCAAGGGCTGTTGTCATGGCTCACTAGGCTAATGCTCTGCCTGCAGCACTGGTACCCTTGGTTCTAGTCCCAGTTGGGGCGCCAGATTCTGTCCCAGTTGCTCCTATTCCAGTCCAGCTCTCTGCTGTGGCCTGGGAAGGCAGTGCAGGATGGCCCAAGTCCTTGGGCCCTGCACCCACATGAGAAACCAGGAGGAAGCCCCTGGCTCCTGGCTTTGGATCAGTGCAGTGCACCGGCCATAGTGGCCATTTGGAGGGTAAACCAATGTAAGGAAGACCTTTCTCTCTGTCTCTCTTACTGTCTAACTCTGCCTGTCAAAATAAAAAAAGAGTTTGTGTCAAATAAACCAGCTCTACATTTTTAGAGTTCATATTAAATGAGCCAGGTCTATATTTTCAGAGGGTGTTAATGTGTTTTTTCAGTAATGGGCTTAGGTTAGATGGAGAATCATAGAACAAATTCTTGTCAGAATATTTATAAATGGCAAAGGTAGCAAATTACCAAGTTGTATTCTATTCAGAGTAAATAAGTTTCAGCATGACTGGAACACAGAAAATGTAGTGCTGTTGGGGTGAGACATGATGCAGACAGTTAACAGAAAACCAGTATTGTAGACTTTGCATACCAGCATAACCCATTTGGAATTCTGAGATTGGTAATGATAAATGGTGACATGCTAGAACCACCTTTGTGTTGTGGATTTTCTTTTTTTTTCTTTTTATATTTGAGAAGACATTAATTTTACAATGTACTTACAGTGCTGTATTCTTTTGTCTTGAAATATATTGAGCTCAACAAGATTGTCCAGTGTAGAGACAGTTGGAGTCAGTGCTGTCCATGCACACTGGGTATAAGTTAAGTTCATGTGTGTCTTCCATGTGGACAGATACACAATGCTGCACTTACCAACTTCAGCCTCCACGTGCTTTTATTTTAAGAAATGTTCTTTACAATAACGTGAATGTTAAAAAAAAACTGGTCTTCAATAGGAATTTTTGATGTCTCAAATAGAAAAACATCATCGAATTTTGTGGAGATGTTGCTAAAATTCCCTCAGACAGATGTGCAATCCCAGATTCTATAAACCCATATACAACTTTGTCTATAGATTTCACTGAGAAAAAACTGAAATTCTACATTTGAATAATTACAAGCTATAAATAATAGTACATTAAATACAAAGAAACTAGAAGAAAAAAAGGTAAATATCAAAGCTAATATTGATTCTAGTAAAGAAGCAAAATTGCTTAAACCCTAGAAGATTGATCAAGAATAAAGAGTTTTTTTAAATTTTACATAATATGTATAACCTTCAAACTACAATATTAATACATGCCTAATGGTTGGAAATAGCAGCAGTTTGTTAGGCTACCAGTTTTAACATAAAACCAACTTACACATATGAAAAGCTATAATGGGCCTATTCACCATTACAGCATGAATCTCTTTCTTCCAGAACATTTTTATTGAAACTTCAGTATCATGAAAAATTAAAATAACACCCCAAACATTCAATATTCACAAATAACATTAAAATCAAATATACAAAGTCACTTAATACTGTTAAATAAAACAATAAACTGCAAGATTTCCTGAATGGAAATAATAGGGCTTCTGAATGTTTTATGGTGAATATTTTTGGGAAAATGGCAGGGCAAAGTGATTACTTATTAATAGTCACATTGAATGTTAATGGCCTGAACTGTCCAGTTAAAAGACACAGATTGGCTGATTGGGTTAAGAAACAATACCCATCTATTTGCTGCTTACAAAAAACACATCTTTCCAACAAAGATGTATACAGACTGAAAGTGAAAGGCTGGAAAAAGATATACCATGCCAACAGAAATGAAAAAGAGAGGGTGTATCCATCTTAATATCAGACAAAATAAACTTGAACACAAAAACTGTTAAGAGAGACAAAGAGGGGCACTATATAATGACTAAGAGATCAATTCAACAGGAAGATGTAATGATTATCAATGTATATGCACCTAATTACAGGGCACTGGTTTATTTAAAGGATTTGTTAA